AAAATATGCTTTCTTTAAACTTCCTGTATTTTGTGAAAGTTTTTCTAGCCTTTAGATATCCATTGATTTTTCATCTCTCTCTCTCTCTCTCAATGTTGTATGTTCCGCGAATATAAAAAATAGCAAGTTAAAGGAAGATTTCCGTTAGTAATTTTCCTCATTTAGCTGATATTATCCTTGCTAAAATGCCCTTGTTGATACTTACCCAATAAAAAAAATAAAAGAAGAAAGTTTATATAAGGTTGTTGCTTTACACTATAGAAGTAAGGTACACCTCAAAAGCAGTAGAAAAGAGTGTTCCGGAGTTGGATCATCTTTCAACTTATCATCTCAATATTGAGATGTATGGACATAAAGAAAAAGGATCTCAAGTCTTAAAGATTAGTGCATATTAAAACAAGTTTCTAGACTGTATATTTTTAAGATTTCTAAATATTTATAGATCTACTTGATTTACACTTCTTTAGAATTTTAAATTCGATAATTAGGTTGGACATATATTTTCAAGCTATCATCAGATTTTTGACATTGGACCTATATCTTCCAGCAAAATTTAGAGGTGTGCCTTATAGTATAATGGCGGTACCTTATGCAAACCTCACCCAAAAATAAATGCCCTACCCTTTGATGAGAATTGTCAAATATGAGTTTATGTTAAATAAAACGAGAATTGTAAGAGAGAGAGAGAGCACTAAAATTTGGAGTTGCTTATGGAGAAGGAAAAAGAGAGAGTGAGAGTGGATATTTAGGAATTTGGCATTTTAATGTAGGTGTGGTTTCTATAAGGTTGCAACCTTAAACAATTCAATTAAGGCGAACCTCCAAATTTTATCATAACATATAATTTTCGTGTAAAAAATTCTTAGGATTATTTAAAATTCTATTTTCATATCGAATTATAAAATTTTAAATTCCAAAAATGGTTAAAATCAAGTAGATCTACATATGAAAATCTTGAAAATAGATGGTCTAGATAATATGTTGCAAGATGCATTATTTCTGTGACTTAAAATCTTTATTTTTCATATTCATACATCTTGATATCGAGATGATCAATTAGAGGGTTTTTCAACATTAAATAACCTTTTCCGATGGAATTTAAAGACGCATCTTTAATTCTACATTTAAGGTTGCAACCTTATATAAACATTTTTCTGTTACTGTTTTAATGTAGAAAGAGAACCTATGTTTTTTTTATAATAAAGTATTTTTTGTCATTAAAAGGAGTGTAATATCATTTACATGGAATATGATATCAACCACATAATGCATTAAATGTCATTCATGTGGTTGATGTCACACCTTATGTGGATGACATCATGCCCCTCTTAGTGACAAAAAATACTTTTATTAAAAATGCTCCATGTACAAAATAAGAGTCTAAAAATGTCTAAAATTTGTTGAGTACAATGATATATATATATATATATATATATATAAATGGTGGGCTTAGCCTACTCGCGTACCCCATTCAGGTGTTCCCAACGGCTGTGATCAATGGGAAGCAAATTGATGGTCACGATGGAGTGGCTTGGCTTTCATTAAAAAAAACATTAAAAAACGGCTTGCTGACAAAAGTTAGAGGGGCGCTGACAATGCATCAATGAAACCGTCCCTCTATCTCTCTTCACGGTCCTCCCTCTCTCTCTGTACAGCCAGTGATGCCCCTCCCTCTCTCTCTCTTTGTGGTCCTTGGTCTCTCTCTGTGCAGTCATTGAAGCCCCATCTCTAAAGGTTCTGTCTCCTCTCTCTCTATTTTTTGATAGGTTTTAGTGAGAGAAATTCCTCCTTGAGTTTCGGCCCTCCTCAAGCCTCTTTTTCTTTCTTCATGAGATCAAAAAGTTTAGCGAGAGAATGAAAGAAGACAAAAGAGAATCTAGTAAGAGATTTTTTTATGTGCAGAGATCATCATCAAGGCATTTTATGGAGTTTGAGGATTTTATTCATAATTGATTGATCTAAGTTTGGAGAGTGTTTGATTGAGATTTTCTTGAATTGTATTGAATGATTTTTTTCTGCAATTTATTGGATCCTAAATGAGTCAATAAGATCTTCATTTTGGTAGGTTAAATTGAGAATTTAATAAGGGAAAACTATTTCGAATTTTTCCATGCCATGCCTCTTGAGTATGTTGTTTATTTTAGATCTGACATGCCTCAAGTTTTACTAAGCTCTGGAAACTACATGTGTGACTAATATTTCTCTGCAATTTATTGGATCCTAAATGAGTCAATAAGATCATCATTTGGTGGGTTAAATTGAAAATTTAATAAGGAAAAACTATTTCAAATTTTTCCATGCCATGCCTCTTTAGTATATGGATGCCTTCATGTGCAGCTTTGATGTCATTACTAGTATCTTTTATCTGATGCGTTTTTATAAAATTCCTTTATTTTTCTGATGATCTAAGGAAATATTTCGGTAATTCTTCTCCAAGTATGCCTATTTTGGTTTCTGTAGTGCTTTTTTTATGGTAGTGCTTTTTTTATGATAGTTCTTTCTATTGATTAATCTAGTTTTCAACATCACTAATATGTATTTAATTTTTTGCAAAGATGATTGTTGCTAATGAGTCCTGATTCATATAGGTTCCAAGGGTATCATTGCTCTTTGTTATTCCTGCTTTTGGAGTTGTGGTTGGATGGGATGGCGATGGTTCTCCAATTAAAGAATCAGATGAGAGCATAACTCATCAGGTAGTGTTAGTCTCAATTTTCTTCAAGTTTCTCGAGTCTAAATATGAATAATTGCTAATGCATGTTGTTTATTTTAGATTTTTTAATTGTTTCCGAAAATTTTTTCACTTTCTGGTTTGTTGGATGACGATAATTCGATAATTCTTGCTTAGTGATTGTTGTTTATGCTAGGAGGGAATTCACCTACTTTCTTTCAAAACATGGGCACATCCAACTCTAAAGCAATCCTTCTGCTTTGAACATGGATTATCAATTTTAAAAATGTTTCTTATCACCAATCGGAAAGAAAAAAAAGATAATATTGATATTTTTAATTCCTTGGTATTTATCTCTTGTTTACCTTTTGAGTGACATTTTTCTTATCCTTGAGGCATGCTCTTTAACGTTACGAAGTTTTAGGGTTTCCCCTTGGATAAATGTTCAAATGGGTCAGGGTTTGGGTTTGACCTGGACCTGGACTCCGCAAGATCTTGGTCTGTTGAGGCTGCACTCAGATCCTACCCCAACCGTGACGAATTGGATAGGTCTGGGCTATACCTTGACCTAATCAAGTCAAGTTTGTTGGACCTAGATCTAAGCTGCCGGGTGCATGCTTGGGGTCCAGACCTGAACCCTGGACCCATCAGGGCGACTTGACCTGTTTCATATGATTTGCATATTTCATATGATTTGCAAATGACTACTTCCACTTAGTGCAGGTTCAAGGACATTGCGGCAATGATTACTTCCACTTGGTGTATTACTGCAACTACCATAATTGTCATCTTCATTGACATGGCTCATGGCATTGTCCTATGGACGTCTCTTACACACAAACTTTTCATCAAACTGACGAATTCTATTTTGTATTATGGACATTACAAACTCATGGCCCTCTACACTTTGTGAAGCACATTCGGCAAGGGATCGACTTGCCTGCATAGCCTCCTTATATCTAATGGAGCGTGGTAGTTCAGATGTTACTTGAATTTGTTCCCCAATGTCATGAAGAAAAACTCTATTCTTTACATCATTTGTCCAACACTTTATTATGTGTTGTGCAGGGATTTCAAACATATCTTTCACCATAAAAATCTTCAGTACATGCCCACAAAGAAGCCCTATCCTCTCAAAGAAGTGACAACTGCAAGAAACAGAATTGTCATGACAATTGAATTTCACTAAGTAGAGTTTAGATGCGATCCCCGGGACAGCCACCTTAAAGGTAGCAACCTGTCCATTGTCTTCAACAGTCTCCCTCGTAAAATTAAAGAAATTAGCTACCTCTTCCCCAAATATTTTTAAAATCTTTTGAGCATCGATTTTTTATGCATGCGACTCAATGAAAGTGGTTGTTCATAAGACTGGAGTAGTATGAATATCTTTCAAATCATTTACCCTCTATTTTCGCATCTTCTTATATTGAACTTCTGCAACAACTTCTAGTAATGTTCGCAAGCTTGTTGTGGGTGTCAAGTACATCTTGAAGTGTGTATTCATCCATTCACTCCTTTGAGTAGAAGACATAGCTACAGTGAACGTGCCAGCCAAGTATGCATCAACCCATTGTATGCGACAACTATAAAGCTTACTGAGCCATTTATTGTCTTTCAGCTTATAATTATCAATCATTGATTTCCATCCCGATCCAAATTCTTCAATTGTTGGGCTAGCAACACATTTCCTAAAGACTTCTAAGTAAAAAGGATGCATACGCAAGACATGACACATGTTTTTTTAATCTTTGTAAATATGTGCCTATCACACCCCAAGAATTTACAATACTGTTATTCCTGAAATGTGACAGACAAAACATATATACATCTATTGATAGGACAAATTTACAGTGGCGAGGTCTTACAAAGTAACAAAAGAAAGCTAGCACAACAACAATATCTTCC